CACGATGGTGATACACAGTACAGTATGGGTTAATCCACACGCTGGTGATACACAGCATAGTATGGGTTAATCCACACGATGGTGATACACAGCACAGTATGGGTTAATCCACACGATGGTGATACACAGCACAGTATGGGTTAATCCACACGATGGTGATACACAGCACAGTATGGGTTAATCCACACGATGGTGATACACAGCACAGTATGGGTTAATCCACACGATGGTGATACACAGCACAGTATGGGTTAATCCACACGATGGTGATACACAGCATAGTATGGGTTAATCCACACGATGGTGATACACAGCATAGTATGGGTTAATGCACACCGTGGCACTACACACCAATACATCACTCCCTGATGTCTACAGCAAACAAACATTCCTCCAAACAAGACAAAATCAATAGTCAGCATCACACATCTTTACAAATAACAATCCCATCAAATAGGAAGAAATATCTCCCTGCATTGTGACATAGGCTTGTTTAGCCCCATTACTGGATGAGCATGTCTAGGGTGGGACGATGCTAGCAGGATCAGTAGAAATAGAGGGGACTAGCAGGGAACATTTAACTCGTGGCTTGAGTGAGTGAGTGAGTGAGTGAGTGAGTGGGTGGCTGAGTGAGTGAGTGAGTGGGTGGCTGAGTGAGTGAGTGAGTGAGTGAGTGAGTGAGTGAGTGAGTGAGTGAGTGAGTGAGTGAGTGAGTGAGTGAGTGAGTGAGTGAGCGAGCGAGCGAGCGAGCAAGCGAGTGAATATTGTTTTACGCCACATTTAGCAAAATTCCAGAAAATGCAACGGGGAACACAAGAAATGGAATTCACAAAATGCGCCCATGTGCCTACCCCACCCTCCCTGGTGAAGGAAGTCTAGTCATAGGTATTATATCACAAACAGAAAGGTTTCATATCAAGCAACAACGATTGGATAACTTGACAGGGTAATATTGGTTCTAGCGCTTAGAGCATAATCAACAGATAGCCTATAGCGCATTACAAATATCTATTTATTTAAATATTTTATTATGGAGCAAATATTGTTAAAGCAATACAATGAAGCAAGTATTGTGATACATCATGGAACAGGCAGTGTGTGATATGCATGATGTAATCCCTATTGGAGACAGCAGTACAATATTGTCTGTAAGTACCGCCAGCTGAGGTATATAACAACTGTAATCGGCGGTAAAATTCTCTCACTACATTTACAAGATTCAGCTTTGATTATCGTCTACAGAAAGGCCGACATAAAACACATCCACCGATAAAACTTGGAAAGATTTGTAAATGATTTTTTTGTAATATCCAGTTACTTTCTTGACTATGATATGCTACATGTATCAACTTTGATGATTATGTTAATCTAAGTGACATATGTATCGAAACAATTTGATTGCAGTGTTTATTCCCTGATCTATATGTGAAGTGCTAGAATCCCTTGAAGGGTTTCAACAATCAATATGGATATATCTATATCAACACGATAAAGGGAGGCTCTAGCTGCGGCGCCATTTTGTTTGCAGAGAACCTAAATACATGCATGTTCAATGGAACAATACTTGCAATATTTGCACATATTTTTTAATGACTAAAACATACACAACAAGAAAAGATGGTATAACTGACCATATACGTAAATATTCCCATTCATGATCATTTGTCTGCCAGTGACGCCATCTCAGTTCAAATAACATTCCATTGGCTATTCTATACAAATGTACAACAAATTTAAATAGGGTTTATAACAGAAATGTACATGCATTTTGATTATATACACATATACAACATACCATGCAGTATTATAACACTATCAACTAGTTGACACTACCACAGCTGTATGACATATACTGGCAGTCAGTGTAATATTGCTGCTTCTTTGGTCACAAAGTCCATCATCACCGTTATTTGGCTAAAAAAATATTCTTGGACCTCAGGCACCCAAAACACCCTGACTGAAAGCATCGTATTTCTGTTCATTTGTACAGAAAATAACAGATTATTCACAAAACATGCCGACAGTCGGCACCAAATTTTCCAAAAATCACTGCCCAGGAATCCCCTGTATAATCTATATGCTTCATGTCCACAATTACAAACATCAGTGAGGTCAGCGGACACACCTGCACGAACATGAAACACAATATCCATAACGATAGGACTGTTCAGTCCACTAGTCATAATGATAACATCTAGAAAAACCCTTAAAAATGTCAAATTTCTACTAGTCCTTATGATACCTTAACTATTGGGCAGTTTGGCACAGACTACGGGACTAGTGTTAATGTCTAATGCTGTCTTCTTGACATAAGTTGAGCAGTATATTTGTGAAAAAGCATGTAAATGAGAACAGACAGTTGTAGTCTTCATGGACTGCCCCATGCTCCCTTCAGTTACCAATCAGCAGAGGACCACGCTTGAACACACAATCTAGTCTACTGTGAATACAAACATTCCAAGTATTATCTCAACACTGTGATGCTAACTGATTTGATCACAGGGACAAGAGTGGTTGGTTGGTTAGTTGTTTAACGCCCCACTCAGCAATATTCCAGCTATATGACAGCGGTCTGTAAATAATCAAGTCTGGACCAGACAATCCAGTGATTGATATCATGAGCATCGATCCACGCAATTGGGATCAATGACATGCATCAACCAAGTCCACGAACCTGACCATCCGATCCCGTTAGTCGCCTTTTACGACAAGCATAGTCGCCTTTTACAGCAAGCATGCGTTGCTGAAGACCTATTCTACCCCAGATCTTCACAAGAGAGTGAGTGAGTTCAGTCTAAGCCACTTGCAACAGTATCAAATCACATCATGACAGTGATCTATCTCCACCAGCTCAGTGACCGATATTCTACCTCAAGTCTGCAGAAGGTAATAACTAATGTTATGGCTCTGTAGAGGTGACTTGTCAAGGGTGGATTCAGCATTATCAAAAGGGAGGGGTCCAAAATATCAAACTCCTCCTCAGATAATCTTACCGCCTACAACATAACACATTTGGTTTTCGAAAGTGGGCGTCTGGACCTCCTGGACCTCCTGGACCCTCCTCTGGATCTGCCTAGGCTTGTGTTTCACAGACCGTTTTGAGGAAATCATGATTTTCTCCCAAACTGCATTCCAAGGACACTTAATTTGGATTCCTGGATAAATCCCTGTCATGGTGTGTCCAACTGTAGGAGTGAGGGAGTTGGGTTTAAGCTGCATTTAACAGTATTCCAGTTATATCACGGCGTGTCAGCTTAATGTGGGAGGAAAGCCCAAAGTGATGCAGGTCTCAGATGTTTACCACTTCGGTGAAACCCACGAGCACGGGTATGGTGCTGACAAACCTAGAAACATAATCGTGGTGAACCGGGATTCGAACCCACAATCATAGGTTTCTGGCGTGCCCAAGGGATGCAACTCTGCACAGCGAATCGTGGCGCCTTAGACGACTGGGCCACCCGTGCCCCCCGACTGATGTAGGAAGAAAGACATTCAACACTTTGTAGCAAAACCCATGAGCACAAACATGATGGATCATAATCGAGAACAAATCTGAATCTGAACTGGTGGATTTTGAACTGCTAAGGGATGGAAGTCTGCATGGAGTACAGAACGCTAAGCCTTTGAGCACCTCTGTCTCCTCCAGACAAATGAATAATGATTTGTTGAGCAAGGACAGTTTCAGATCCATTATAGACATAAGTCTCCTCCTTAACATCCACACTGCATCATAGGCATGCAAGTAGTGACAGATATCATAGATACCTCAGTAACATATCACGGAGGGACTGAGTTCATATCCTGGTTGCCTGGCAACAAACCAGTGGTTGATAGTGTGACAAGAACCTCCCAGTGGTGGTGACAAACAATCAGTGTTGGTGTTTCCAATTGTGAGAATTTATTCAATACCCTTCTGTCATTAGCCTTGCTCCAAGGCTGTACTGAGAGAAAAGTCCATGCATGTGTAGTAATTCTATCCTCCTAAGAGGCAAGTCTAGATACGTGGACAGTAAGGACTCCAGCTTCTCATAGGGACAACTTGTTCATATTATTAAAATAATCTAGAATTTATGATTTGAAGTAATAATTATTGCCTTAGAGACTTATACAAGTCTATTCATTACTGGCACCAAATTCCCATTTCAACAGCATAATATTGGGAGTTATCTGCACACAGTTCAATGTCAGTCCCATAGTTCAGCATTAGTAGTGTAACGATACGTTGATACAGTATTGTATCATGATACAAGGCCCTGGATATAATACATTGATTCATAACTCCTGTATTGTGATACATACGATATATTTCTTTACAAGTTATATTGGTGTAAACCATGTGCATAGTAACAGAAACTGTTTAACCACCAGCTTACACAGATTCTCTAGTACCGTATATGACCACCGATAAGCCGACCCCGTAGATAAGCTGAGGTGTTAACTTGATCATTGAAATACGAAAGAAAATGATATGACCCGCAGATAAGCCGAACCAGGAAGTGAAAAAAACACTGCAAAGTCGGACTGCAAGACATGTGCCGGTACTCGCATATATTCAATAATATAAGATGAAAAACGTTGTAACTATATTGAAAAAGTCATTATGATTTCTAATAAAGATTTAACAAACCAGTCATCCACTTTCATAACGTGGGAAGCTGTTTCTCTTGTCTTTTTTTAATAACTTTATTGATAATTTATAACAATAATGGCTCCAGTCGTGGCAACTTCCAAACTTTCGGGAAGTTGTAATCTATCGGACCTTCATTCAGGCGATGTTTCTGACAGATCACGATCTGAAAAATACTATCAGGAAAGTGTATCCCGTGGTTAAGCCGATCCCTTTCTACAGAATCTTTTTTCTGGTCCTCAAAATTCATCTTATACGCGGTCATATACGGTATTTCATGGCTGGACACAGATTGGAATACCAATATGTTTCTGCCCTACAAGATCCCATCTCTGAGCTCTGAGAAATAATGACAAATGATTCAGGGTTCTGCTTCACCTGCAAAATGAAAGACTATCAACTTGTGAAGTAAAAGTGTTGGGGAATACGAATCATATCACACCCATAGTATACATACCGTATGTTATCGATACCCCACCATATCGCTACACCTCTAGGATCTATACTGCATCCCTACACTGGTACAAGTGTGAACACACCAGACAACGTGTCACTCCCACAAATACAACAACATCTTTATTCACTATAACAAAATCGGACCACGACAAACATGACTTCCCCTTGTCATGTTCCCACGTTCATACACCAATATACCATCACAAACCCTTCATGTCCTGACATGTCCTGACCCAGGTGTGGCCAGGTGTGTTCCCCAGCATCAATACACAAACAGTACAGTTCATGCGAAGTACTTTGTACTTGTATCATAACAGACACACTTGTTGTCATGGTAACATAACAAGCCTCTTTACACAAGTCTTCCTATGTCTGCTAGGACCAGTAAACAAACTCCATCGTTCCTGATCAACAGGATCAGTTTCAGTCTGTGTGAGCCACTCGTGTTCCCCTGGAGTCGAGGTACAACAGCCAGGTCTGGCCCTTTTTTCGGTGAGGCAGAAAACTTGGATCCATCCGTTCCACAAACAAGCTCAATATTCCAGTTCTTCAGCAAGTGTCTTTGAGCCATCCTCATTGGCCGCAAATTGGAGGTATATCTAACTGTTTATATTTAACAGTCCATGCTGACCAGGTTTGCTTGTTATAAGTTAAAGCTGTCCAGTTCTGCTTGCTACAAATTTAAACTGACCAGTTTTGCTTGCTACAAAATTAATCTGATCAGCTTAACTTGCCATAATTGCATGTGGACTATTTCTTCTCTGGCAGTCCATATTATTATCCTTAAGTATTAGAATAGCTTGTATCTGCTGTGTACAGAACATCTCCGAGGTTTTACTCAAGACTGAGTTTGAATCCATGATGCCACAAGTTACACAGGTAATCTCTGTTGCATCCTGACGCCCAGAACCTTGATCACATCCACAGAGCTTTCCTTCACAATGCAACATCTTCACTGCAAGAACTCTCAAAGGATTTCAAACATCTTGTCCAATCATCGAACAGTACATTTTCACTGTTAACGTTAGCCCACGTTTACCTTTCTCCATTGATATAATAAAGTTCTGACGTTTCAACCAAGCTTTGATAGTGAACTAAGCCTTGCATTAATCCACACAATAACAGTAAAACAGGATGCCATGGCCAGTGCGAGGACAGCTGTATAACCCTGTGGCAGTCTCCAGGAACCGTGTAATGCTGTTGTGAGAATGAGTAATATGTAAAGTCTGGCAACAGGAACCTGGCAATCAACAGCATCTAGACTCCAGTCTTCCTGCTGCATCTGGAGCCTGTATCCCAGCACCTGTTGCTAGGACAGGGTGGACAGTTCGTGGAGGACGTCCTGCTGGTGACCTGCCAAGTTGGACACACCGCGTCTCACGTCACAGATGATCAGACGGACCTGAAACATGGAAAAAGATAGTGTCACATCATCCCATCACAGGTGATCACAGTCTGATGTTTGTTTGTTGTTTAACTTACCACTCACCAGTATTCTAAATGACGGTAGTCTGCATAAACAATGAGCATTGACCTACACAATTGGGATACGACAACATGCATCAACCGAGTCACCGAGTCACCGAGCCTGACCACCCAATCTTGACCACCTAATCCTGTTAGTCACCTCTTATGGCAAGCATGAGTTGGTGAAGATTCTAACCTGAATTTTCAGGGTTCAGAAAGGCTAATATCGGGAAGGCTGGCGAACGTGATAAGTAAAATGGCTGATGGACATTATGAAACTTTTCAAATGTCTAACTGTGGACTACAGAAAATTCCTGACAAAATCATTGACAAAGTTACATTTTATAGCCAAGGACTGGAAACAGAAATATAAGTGTAGAATCATTGTGATCATTCCCATCATAGAGCCAAACAAATATGAATTTTGAAAAGCAATTCTAGTTCAAGTCACATTTAATGTTATTGCGCGTCTGACATAAGATCAATTGGCATTCACAAGCCTCAATTGCCACTCACCATCCTACTCTGATCAAATTACCTCATTAATTATTCAATCATTGAATTATCTGTGCTAGTGTGCTCCCTGGCTTCGTGTGAGTAATATCCGCTAATTCCCTTCACTGAGTGTCGCCCTTCCACGTACACCCCAGATGCTCTTTGAAGTCTGGCCAAGGGGACCTGTAGGTAGGAGGTGGGGGCAGACCCTGTGGGGATATCTAGACTGTACGATCTCGGTCTTTGGGGGGTGGGGGAAGGTGCAGGGCAGCCTGGAAGTGGGGGTAGTAATATTAACAGTATCGCTAGCAAGGGTGGCTATATGATCAATCCCCACTGAAGAAAGCATGGGTACTGCCTAATTTTGCCTTGAATTCTAACTGGAAACAGTTCTGGTGTTCTGGAACCTTACCTGGCCTTGAATCCAAAGTGGAAACAGTATGATAAACCTATCACTATGTTACCCTATATAGCATTTGGTTCCTGACAACCTCGGGAAAACCTTGCAACCAGCTCATCTTCCAAACCCAGGTTTTGAAATGGTTCACTTCTATTGTAATACTTAGGTTTTACAATTCATTTTTTATAAACTTGACACAATTGTGTTTGATGATTTGCTAAAAGTCACAATTTTTTCTACATGAAAATTCCATGACGTGAATTGAACCTGCAACCTCGCATATTGTATTAAGTTTCGTAACCTACTGTTCTCCCACTGAGCTACCATGGCAGGTGATGAGATGGTGTTCAGTTTATCATGTCATGACTCCAACTAGTCCATGCTGCATGTGTTTTTTCTCTCGCACACTTAGAGCAAATTCCTTTTATACCGCAAAACACTGTATTGTTTCACTATAAGGTATATCAATGTTTTCTTGTTTTTTCTTGCCTTTAGATCGTTCATAAGTTGGATAAAACAGGCTTTTCCCACATTGCAGTTTTACATTTTCAACCAAAACCTCTGAGGTGTGTTTTATTCTATACATAGAGTGCTGGGGACTTAACATGGCCTTTAATTCAAAGTAGAAATGGTCATATTTGGCTGGGACCTAACCTGTCCTTGAATCCCAACTGGAAACAGTTATAGTGTGCTGGGACCTAACCTGCCCTTGAATCCAAACTGGAATCAGTTACAGTGTGCTGGGGGGCCTAACCTGGCCTTGCATCCCAACTGGAAACAGTTATAATGTGAAATGGACCTAACCTGGCCTTGAATCCCTACTGGAAACAGTTATAGTGTGCTGGGTGGCCTTACCCGGCCTTGACTCCCAACTGGAAACAGTTATAATGTGAAATGGACCTAACCTGGCCTTGCATCCCAACTGGAAACAGTTATAATGTGAAATGGACCTAACCTGGCCTTGAATCCCAACTGGAAACAGTTATAGTGTGCTGGGGGGCCTAACCTGGCTTTGCTTCCCAACTGGAAACAGTAACAGTGTGAAATGGACCTAACCTGGCCTTGAATCCCAACTGGAAACAGTTATAGTGTGCTGGGGGACCTAACCTGGCCTTGCATCCCAACTGGAAACAGTTATAATGTGAAATGGACCTAACCTGGCCTTGACTCCCAACTGGAAACAGTTATAATGAGAAATGGACCTAACCTGGCCTTGAATCCCTACTGGAAACAGTTATAGTATGCTGGGGGCCTCACCTGGCTTTGACTCCCAAATGGAAACAGTTATAATGTGAAATGGACCTAACCTGGCCTTGAATCCCTACTGGAAACAGTTATAGTGTGCTGGGGGGCCTAACCTGGCCTTGCATCCCAAATGGAAACAGTTATAATGTGAAATGTACCTAACCTGGCCTTGAATCCCAACTGGAAACAGTTACAGTGTGAAATGGACCTAACCTGGCCTTGAATCCCAACTGGAAACAGTTATAGTGTGAAATGGACCTAACCTGGCCTTGAATCCCAACTGGAAACAGTTACAGTGTGAAATGGACCTTACCTGGCCTTGAATCCAAACTGGAAACAGTTATAGTGTGAAATGGACCTTACCTGGCCTTGAATCCCTACAGGAAACAGTTATAGTGTGAAATGGACCTAACCTGGCCTTGAATCCCTACAGGAAACAGTTATAGTGTGAAATGGACCTAACCTGGCCTTGAATCCCTACTGGGCACAGTTATAGTGTGAAATGGACCTAACCTGGCCTTGAATCCCTACTGGAAACAGTTACAGTGTGAAATGGACCTAACCTGGCCTTGAATCCCAACTGGAAACAGTTACAGTGTGAAATGGACCTAACCTGGCCTTGAATCCCTACTGGAAACAGTTATAATGTGAAATGGACCTTACCTGGCCTTGAATCCCAACTGGAAACAGTTATAATGTGAAATGGACCTAACCTGGCCTTGAATCCCAACTGGAAACAGTTACAGTGTGAAATGTACCTAACCTGGCCTTGAATCCCAACTGGAAACAGTTATAGTGTGCTGGGGGGCCTAACCTGGCCTTGCATCCCAACTGGAAACAGTTATAGTGTGAAATGTATCTAACCTGGCCTTGAATCCCTACTGGAAACAGTTATAATGTGAAATGTACCTAACCTGGCCTTGAATCCCAACTGGAAACAGTTACAGTGTGAAATGGACCTAACCTGGCCTTGAATCCCTACTGGAAACAGTTATAGTGTGAAATGGACCTTACCTGGCCTTGAATCCCAACTGGAAACAGTTACAGTGTGAAATGGACCTTACCTGGCCTTGAATCCCTACTGGAAACAGTTATAGTGTGAAATGGACCTTACCTGGCCTTGAATCCCTACTGGAAACAGTTATAATGTGAAATGGACCTTACCTGTCCTTGAATCCCTACTGGAAACAGTTATAGTGTGAAATGGACCTTACCTGGCCTTGAATCCCTACTGGAAACAGTTATAGTGTGAAGTGGACCTAACCTGGCCTTGAATCCCTACTGGAAACAGTTATAATGTGAAATGGACCTAACCTGGTCTTGAATCCCTACTGGAAACAGTTATAGTGTGAAATGGACCTAACCTGGCCTTGAATCTCAACTGGAAACAGTTATAATGTGAAATGGACCTAACCTGGCCTTGAATCCCTACTGGAAACAGTTATAGTGTGAAATGGACCTAACCTGGCCTTGAATCCCTACTGGAAACAGTTATAATGTGAAATGGACCTTACCTGACTTGAGTTTTAACTGAAAACAATAATATAGTGCTAGGGACCTAACCTGGCCTGGAATCTCCACAGAGTGTTTGCATTGGATGGGACTATACCGATATGCCACGGCCAAACAACTACACTCGGAGGTTACCATAGTTACCAGTCTACTAGGTCATACTAGAATAGGAATCAATCTTGAAAACCAAGAATTTCGACTAGCCTACGGAGAGATTCAATTCTACTTGCAACCCTGTTATTTCCAGACAAAAACCTTGAAATTTCTTTTCAAATGTAGTCCCTGCTTCTGCTTGTTAAATGAACAATGACAAAAGTATTTTCAGCATATCACCTACATCCAAATCAGAACATGATAAATTTGGAAACAATTATCCATCAAAATGCTCATATAATAACTAATATGTTTTCTACACACACATAGAACACAAAACCCTTTTCACCATGTTCACAAACTAAGCTATGTACGTAACTGTATTCCACAACAGTTTTGAATGACACAAAAGCAACAGAGGACGTCCTGTGATGAACAAGTCAATACCTGAAGCACATTTAAGCATGTTCGCAAAAAGGAAATGGTGGCACAGAAATAGTTTTCTAGAATTAGAATGAACTATTTTAAGGAGACGTAAGTCATAGCACTAGAGCTTGCTGATCCTGTCTGAGAGGGTCCGAGAGAATGGCCAGGGATTGACAAGACCACACCACCAATAAGCCTGACTTTGTCATTTGCATCCCAGCGCAGTCGAGGACTAATCCTCGATCAATATGCAGTAAATCTCATCAAAGCAAACAAAGTGGCAAGTGCTTGGCTGTGGCTGCATTAATGCTGGAAATAAATACAGGTAGTGATACAATAGGGCCAGCGTAACCTCACAACAGGCAAACCTGCGTACTGGGGATCTCTTCAGCGTGTAATGTACTCGGACATATTAACTCTTTACTTAAGCTGGGCTCAGATAGAAAACAGGTTGGGTTTAATTGTAAATTCGGTATAATAGCTTGAGGCCAAAACGTTTTTTACTCAAATGGAATTAGAAAATGGAAGACATTAGAGAGAGCTGAACAGAAATTTGAATAATATTGAACCATATTAACCAGAAGTTTGGCTTAATGAAAGACGTGAACTGACGTCAACCTCCTACGATGTTCTTTGAAAATATCGGGAGACAAACAAACTTCCAATCATTTTAATTTTTCTGACTACGTTGCTTGATTTAAATCTAATGCTGTATTATGAAAGTTGCTGATCAAAGGAAGGAATGAATAAAAGTAAATTAATTT